TGAGAGTACCACACTTCACTCCCCGGCTTCGACAAAACTATACTGTGGCGAGGGGAAGTGTAATCCTTTTTCAGAAAAGGATAGCATCTCAAATCCTCGAGCCCCGCTCAAGGATCAAGCCTCACTGCTTCTCCCTCCGATTCCAGCACTCGCTTCTTGCAGACCCTCGCCTACAAAGTAACCAACCTCACCATACACGCTTCGGGATGCGCTATCTCGTCCTGTGTTGGTGAACCTACTTGACGCCAAAATATTTGGGGATTCACCCCCTACCTCTCTACAACACGTAGTAGTTGCTTCTCTCATAGGCCAAGGTCTAACAAGACTCAAATACTTTTCTCCTTTTCAGTAGTAGTGTAGTTATTTTATCACAAAAGATATAACAACACCCCACTATGGACCAGGAACATGGTTCCGACGTGGGTCTCACTACGACCTACAAGACAAAATTATAGCTTCTTCAAAGCAATCTCTTAGGGGAACAATAACATAGGATTGCAACCTTCCTTGGGGTAAACCTTACACATTGACTATTCCTAGAGAAGAACTTATCCCAAGGAAGTAGTCACTCCATTCACCCCTGAATCCGCATCAGACGTGGATTCTGCGCAATACTTCTACCCGTCTTTGAAGAGCAATTCAAACGCATAAATTTTAACAAAGAGCCATAAGTTGATAATAGGACTTGAGACGCTCATACAAATCCTTACAACTTATAAGTTTAAGCACATACTTCAAATATTTAGCCCATACAAAAACACTCCTGGAAGAGATAGCCATAAAATAATATTAAGCACACAAACCTCACATAAATAGACACTAAACAGACTTATTCAGATAAGATCTGACAAGTATGGATGACCTTAATACATAAATCAAGAAAAATGCTCTCAGAAGAATAGTCTCAAGTCCTTAGTTCCAACCTCATAGATTCAAGTGGATGGTCCAAACCTGGAAAAGCTTAAGCGGGGGTCTAACATCAATTACAACTCTTTGCCTCATCAAAAGCAGGAAAATAGCCTAAGTGTTAGCTCCTTCATTGTTACTCCGACTACCTCTAGGATAAAATATCCCCTTTTCCGAAAAGACGCCATGCAGATATTAAACTTCCTGCAATCCTTTCCATTGAGGTCTTAATATGGTACTCACTACTCCTATCCACCGCTTTATACGCCTAGCTCAAACACATTGCGCGTGGCAGACCTCACATTTTCATGGCTATATAATCCGAACAACCACTTAGAGCCGAGACTTGAGGATCCCGATCCATGCTCATAAAGGTTTTCAACATCATTAGCCTAGCCCTCATCGAAGTCCTTCCATGACGTCTGACATGATAGGCTCCCCTACACATCTTTGGCCTCACTCTAACGCAAAAGTACCAAGTTACTCTCATGACCACTCAGATAACCCTTTCAATCATAGTAGGTACCTTATAGGGTCAACTCCCTCAATGGACCTTTTGAGCCCGACGTCACCTTATCTTACCCTGACCATACCAACCATGCAAAGCAACGTCCAAATCAGTCAACTATCGTGGTCAGAAGAGGTACCATTTCCAACTACCATCTTATCAGTCAGAGTACGTAGGCGCATAGTCAAAACGCTTATCGCTCTCATGCTACCCTTACCGCATCTAGCAAAGTCAACTCGCACCGTCAACCTTCACTCGGTTTTTTATCCAATACCATCAATCGATTAATCTGAAAAAGCTCTATCAAACTTCTCACTTTGCCTATTTTTCACAGTCCCATACCCGGATGTCGTTCCACCAGGGACAACGGCAGGCAACCGTTATCCCCGACAACGACGCCACCTGTCGAGCGCATCGGTCCGACACCGCACAAGGCAGCGCTGGACCCTCCCGGCCGCGTCACGCAGGAGTTGGTTTGTTCCCTCGCCGCGAATATTCATGGAGCTTCCGCAAGCAGCTCCCGACCGAGTCCGCCAGCCATACCTCTCGCGAGCCCCTACGACAGAATAGGGCCTACGCGAGGCACGACTTACCTCCACCTTACGGAAGCCGTCACCTCCCTTCGGGTGGGCGTATCCCCGCCGAGCTACCAGTCCATAGTACGAAAGCTAATCAGGTGCAATCGCAGAGGTGGACCAGCCGAGGGCGTTTCTCGTTCGCTGTAGCATAGGGGGTACGTGCGGTATTACGCCTCTATCAAACCCGCACGAGAACCGGCATCTTGGGGGGGCTGAGGTCCCAAGCGCGACTCGTCGTTGGTCGACTAGGACGCATCCCACACGCCACGCGCACACCGCTATAAAGAACATAAAAATAAAAACACACACAGATACGCACGTACATATACATATACAAAACGACACTGAACAAACAACGCGACAATACTCCTAGTCCCTTAGTAGCCATCCCACAACTCCCCGATGCGGAAATCGGATAAGCGTCGCCCGCGAGACTTAGTATCAAACCGCGTGGGCGCAGGGCTAACTCATATCAACTCGCAATGCAAGCAAACGTAAGCAGTCGCAATGGTGGTGTATTATGTAGTACCCATACTCACGCGATTCTCGTTAATCTCGAGGGTCGCGTTCGACACTAAAGTGTCGGTTGACACGCGCCTTGAGGGACTGATCTCTCGACGCTGGACAACCGCCAAGTGCGGTTGAGAACCACACCCTCTTCTGCACCCTGCGGAGAGTGGGTGGTACACAGGTTCAGACGTGTGGTGGCAATCATCTCTTATGGCCCTGGAGACCAGCTCCTTCACCAAGGGTCTGAAGAGAAATCAAAAGGTTTGACTTTGACGGCTGCCATGGACTACAACGTTCAACTATAGAACTCTTAAAAGCACAGGATAACAGGGGATCTCCCTTTTCTCTTAAACACACAATCTGTTTAACCCTTACTCGTGGTCCCAGTAGGCCGCGCGAAACACTCGAGACATATATATAGCACATAAATATAGAGGGTTATTAATATTGGACGATCACGTCTCACAGTCACAGTGGGACTCCTCTCAGCCATATATATATCGTCAAATAGAACTGCCCGGTAAACCGTAGGCAGAGAGGGAGAAGAGGACAACATATATGTATGTGAGCACAGGCAGTCAAATCCAAAGTCCGAATCACCAAACATACCTGCAATCACATCAAAGATTCAACCAAAAAGTCCATGCACCACACGGGGTCAACTTCAACCATTCTCTGCACTCACACCCTTGCTTTTAGCCATACAAGCCTCACTCTTTCTGCAACTCTCAAAATAAAATAGTCAGTACTTTTTTTTAAATGACCATTCAAAATAAAGTCCGGGTGAAACACAACAAAACAGTTCAAATCACAAGGCTTAAGCCTTTTTGAGTGGTAGGAGTGGATTGGAGTTGAATCGTAAACCGACGAATCGGCAACCGACCTGTTATCAGTGATAACAGAAGATGATCCTTGTAGGATCAAGCTGAATCTAGCCCAAATCCTGAATCATGCGATCAAGAAGACCTGTAACACAAGACAGGTCAATCCCTAAGCTAAATCTATGAGTTCAAATCGAGAGTATCCTCCATATCATGCTTTCACCAAGAATCATTCTACTTGGCTAATCCTGAGTCTACCCCTAAGCCAGTGCCTAATGAAAAGGTAGACCTTTGGCAGAATCTCGTGGATTGCCAACATTGCCACCCGTCAAAATATAATCTAACTCCTTTAAACTAAGAAAATTTCGGCAGCGCTTCTCGTAGGAGAAGTGCTCTTTCATAATTTATATCAGCCTAAATATGAAAACAAAAATAATCTTCAACCTTCCAAAGTCAAATTTTGTCGAACTCCCTGAATTAGCAAAAATTTGGGCAACACTCCCTTTAGAAAAAAAGACTTCCCAGATTTTTACTAAGCCATATAAAATTTAGACAAGTTGAACTTTGAAAAGTCAAAAGTTGATTAACTCCTTGGATTTGCAGAAATTTCGACAGCGCTTCCTATAGAGAAAGTAACTTCCAAAATTTATACAAAGCCAAGTATAACAAAAGATCCCAGAAAATGCGAGAATTGATCTAAGGTAAAAAAACTTGGCTCAGAAAATGCAGGCATTGAAACTAACTCCTATGACTCTAGCACGTGGCGAGCAACGAAAGCAACTACCTATCAAACTGAAACTCTGGCTAAGTAGTGGCCTCACTCAGTCACATGCAGGCCAAACCACAAAGGTAAGTACACTCACCATCCCCAAAGTCATCTTAACAACCAATAGTTCATGGTCTCTCAATGATTTACCCCTTTATTCCCAGCTTACATAGGGCCTAAAGCTAGACCACCCAAACTTATGGAACATGTTTAGCTCAGCCATTGAGTATACACAAACACAGGACACAACAACTTTTCTCTTCTTTGAGCATATCACTAGGCACCCTAGTCGCCTTGAACTGTTTAAATATCCCAACTTAATATAATTATCTTCACTTAGTCTTTTGAGGTAGCATATAACTGAACCGATCATCTTTAGCTCAGGATTCTAGATCCGTAAGTTGGGAAGCCAGGGCAACGCTACGGTCCCGATGCCTATGCGTATACCGAGGGAGAGCCCAACTCAAAGGAACCCGACGAAGGGAGACCATCAGGCGACACAACCAGGGTACTGTACAGGGTAAGGTGGTAAGAGAGTGACAACGTCTGAAGTAGGCAGAGCTGATCGTGACGAAGTCCGTGAAGCTGCCCATGACGTCCATGATGAGAAGTTTGGAATGCCGTCGAGGAAGAACTACAACCTCGACGAGCTGAAGTGGCAAAACTGGAGTGGATGGAGTATTGAGAAGTCAAAGTCGTGGGAAGATAAGTCAAAGGCAATCGTCGTATCGAGTAGGACGACGACGAGTGCACTGTGAACGCTCAAAAGCATCCGGCTGCTGCTGAAGGTCTGCCTCAGATGGAGCAGGCTCGCCTTCAGCGGTCTCCTCAGCCGAGGGAGAAGGAGGAGGGTCAGTGGACTAAGGAGGAGCAATTAACCTAGCACGACGAGCACGGTCATACGCACGCACCAACATGCGAGCGTGTTGCAAGTGCTCGAGGGGCTCCCAAGTAGCCTCCTCATCAGGGTAACCCTTCCAACGTACGAGATACTCGACATGGGGAGTGTTGTCGTCGGTGACTCGGCGACCAATGATGTCCAGAACGAGGAACTCCTCGTGGACGTCCACCATGATGGATGGAGGGCGCTCGTATGGTCGTCTAGCGAAGCGCTCAAACGGTCTGCAGTAGGGACGCAGCAATGAGACGTGGTAGACATTGTGCACACGAGCCTGGCGTAGGTAGTCGGGCAGTTTCACATGGAAGCTGACCGGGCTAGAAGCCGTATCAGAACCGACGACCTGGAGAATGCGGCATGGGCCAAAAAAGTGACGCCGGAACTTGCGAAGCGTGTCCGCTGCAAGCTGTAAATGGCGGGCGTTGATAAGCACATCATCACCAACTTTGAATGGATGATCCATCCTCGATCGGTTCACACGTGCGGCCATGCGAGTCTGGGAGGCGGCTATGTGCTCATGCGCGGTCTTCATGATCAACGTCATGTGTGCAACCCAATCATCCAGCGCGGGACAACTCATGTCGAGGTGCATCTGTGACGGTAGAAGGAAGTCCGCGAAAACACGAGGGTGATAGCCGAGGTCACAATGATAAGGCGACATCCCCGTGGTTGGCGAGACGGCATGGTTGTAGGCTATCTCCGCGTGGGCAAGATGGAGATCCCATTGCTGGTCGTTACGAACAATCTTTCGGAGAATGTCTCTGAGAGTCCTGTTCGTGACCTCGATCTAACCATCAGTCTGGGGATGGTAAGACGAGGAGAAGCGGAGCTGGGTGCCGTACACCTCGTGGAGCCGTCGCCAAAATTGGCTGGTAAAGCGCGGGTCACGGTCAGATATGATGCTCAGTGGTAAGCCGTGGTCACGCACGACTCGGTCAAACACGATGTTGACGACCTCACATGCACTATCGACATGGCAACACTGAACAAAGCGTGCACGCTTCGTGAAGCGGTCAACGACGACCAGGATAGGATCATGACCGCGGGGGGTCGGAGGACGAAGAGGACCGAAAAAGTCCATCGAGATGGACCGCCAACGACCCTCGGGGATAGGAAGAGGCTGGAGCAAACCATAAGGCGAGTGGTTCACACTTTTAACCTCCTGACAAGTGAGACACTATGCGACGTAGTCCTTCACAAAGTCCTTGCGCTTCGGTCAAACGTACAGGCGGCTCACACGAGCCAACGTCTTGTGGAAGCCTATATGACCGGCGACTGCCTGGTCATGGAACTTTGCTACTGCCCGGACACGTAGCTGTCCAGTGGAGGGAACGCAAATACGGGGCTCTCTGGTGTCATGTGAACACAAGACCGTTGTCCCCGAGGGAGTAGTTCGGGACGGTCTTGCCACTCCGAAGGGTCACATGGATGTCGCGATAGTCGGGGCAGTGTCGGTACTGGGTGCGAAACTCGTCGATCACCGAGTGGTGGACGGTGGTGACCGAGATGGCAGCAACCTGGATATGCTCCAGATCATGGTCAGGGCGTCGGGATAAGGCATCTGCGACCCGATTAGTCTCACCCTTGATGTGCTTAGTGGTGAAACTAAACTCGGATAGGTCGCGCTACCAGCGAGCCTGTCGAGGAGTGAGTTTCGGCTTTGTCAGAAAAGCCTGGACAACAGAGTTATCCATGCGCATTGTGAATGGTGCCCCGTGCAGGGAGTGACACCAGTGCCGAGCGACATAAACTACTGCGAGAACCTCACATTCATCAGCAGTGTAGTTTATCTCGGCAGGCAAGAGCAGACGGGAGTAGAAGGCTATCGGACAATCACCTGAGCGAGACTCGACAGTGTCGTCCTCGTCGATGGTAGGCGAATAGTCAATAGCTGGACGAGTAGACGTCAGGCAGAAAGCAGTGGTAGGGGTAGGGGGTGGGAAGCGCGGGATGCGAGGGATGCGAGGACGAGTAGACGTCAAGCGGGAAGCAGTGGTAGGGGTAGCGGTAGAGGAATCAGGAGAGGAGGGGAAAATATGAGAAAGCACTACTCCTACAGCAAAGTCTGACGCATCGGTGGTAAGGATAAAAGGGCGATGAAAATCGGGTAGGTGAAGAACCGGTGCACATGTCACCGCCTTCTTGAGGGCGTGGAAGCCATCCTCGTGGAGGGGTGTCCAAGCCCATGGCGGGTTCTTCGGGAGGAGGGTGGGGGTAAGGACGTAATACCTAGCGTATCCCTGGATGAAATTACTATAGTAGCTAGTAAGGCCTAGGAGGCTGCGAAGCTGCTTGGCGGATGTGGGGACGGGCCACTCCGCAATAGCAGTAATCTTTGCCTCGTCCATGTGGAGACCCTGTTCAAACGCATAGTGTCCTAAGAAATCCGCTTTGTGCTGGGTAAAGTGGCACTTGCTCAGCTTGGCGTAGAAGCCATGTCTGCGCAAGCGGTCAAGGACGCCGCGGAGGTGTCTGAGATGCTCCTCAAGGGTACGCCTGTAGACCAGGAAGTCGTCGAGGTAGACGAGAACGTACTGCTCCAGGATGTCCCTGAAGATGTCGTTCATCGCCCTCTGGAAGGTAGCAGGTGCGTTGGTGAGGCCGAATAGCATCACCGTAAACTCATAGTGGCCGAAGCGCGATCGGAACGCTGTCTTCGGCTGGTGCGCTGCAGTGATGCGGATCTGATTGTAAAGAAGCGGTTGCCTGCTAGGCGATCGAACAGCTTGTTGGAACGAGGCATGGGGTAGCTGTTCTTAACCGTGTAGCGGTTGAGACCGCGATAGTCGATGCCGAGACGGAGAGTTCCATCCGCTTCGCGCGCAAAGAGGATGGGTGCACCCCCTGGGGAGTTGCTGGGTTTAATGAAACCCAGTCTCAGGAGCTCCTGAAGCTGACGCTCGAGTTCAGTGGCCTCGGGGATCGAGAGTCTGTAGGGTGCGTGGTGGTGAACACGATAGTCAAGCACAAGCTGGATGGAGTGCTCGACGTCACACATTGGTGGAATGCCGACGTACGAGAACGACGATGGGAAAACGTCGTGGTACTCTCGAATGAGGTCACGAACTGCAAGCTCCAGGTCGGGCGTATAGCGTGTGAGTTCCTCAGCGTAAGTGTCAACGAGCAACAGCGGGGTGGACTCGACGGACGGCGGAGGGAGGGAAGTAGAGATGGAAGTCATAGAGATAGAAGGAGGATCTGGCTCCAGAGAGATGAGCTCGGCGTCTGGACAGGGTGGATCATAGTGCAAGAGATCCGTAACGTTCACCGTAAAGAAAATGACGTCGTCCTGTCGGATAAAGTAGGCGAACTGCCGAGGCGAGGTGACGGTGATACTAGGAGATGGTGTGGGCAAGGAAGGCTCCGAGGGAGGAGAATCAAGGCGTGGTGTTGTGGTGGTACCTATAAAAGGTACGCGATACGTCTGTCCACACTTCTTTTTTAGAACGAGAGTGTTGGTCACCCAATCGGCCTCGGTGCTCCGGAACCGACGAGACAATGGAGTACCGAGAATGAAATCGTACCCCGTCTCCATCACATCGAAATATGCAGAGGAGCGGTGGCGACGAGACGCCGGGGGACGATCAGTCGGCTCGAGAGTGAGGAAGAAGGGAGGTCGGTGACCGTCTGATCGAAGAAGCGCTGGATCTTGTAATCTCCTAGGGTGACGGAGATGGGAGTCGGAGACCCTGTCGTGGGTAAGCGGGCTTCTTTCACCACACGTGGGTGAATGAAGTTGCCCTGAAAACCGGAATCCCACAGCGCTGAGTACACCCTCATGGAGTCGCAAGGTGCTCGCTGCAACGGGCTGAGCGAATGGCTCAACACGTCGGTAGCCACGGAGGGGTAGGAGGGGAGACGGTGGTCTGCGGAGGGGCAGACGATCAGAGGACTGTTGAAGCTAAGGAGGAGGGAATGCGAGGCCAATGCCTCTATGAGCCCCTTTATGGCCCATCTTGAAGCAAGTCGGCCGCCCTAAGTGAAGGCAGGCTCGACGAGGCCCTCAGGGCTCTGTGTTGGTCACCACGCAACTCAAGGAAATTCACGCAGTTGCGCAACGCCAGTTGGTTGAGAGAACCCAGGCCCTGGGCCGCCCGTGTGAATGTATGGAAAGCAGTCCCTGGGCTGGATACGGGTACTGGGCCGAACACAGGCCAAAGGCAGTTGGGCGCATGCAACCAACTCAGGCCCAAGGCCTGTTCTCGTTCGTGCTGGGCCTTAGGCTACCGGGGCCTACTGGAAGCTTCCTGGGACTGGACGCAGGCAGGCCACTTCGATATAGCAAAGGGCCTGCCTCCGGATTCGCCATTCGGGTGCTGGCTGCATGTTGCGCAAGCGCTGCCGCTGTGCTAATTGCTGGTTGGCGCCTATGCGCTCACGGGCGAGCAGGAAAGGAGCAGGCACCCATAGCCGAGCTGCGCTGCTGTGAGCTGGGTGTGGCGCAGGGTGGTCCTTGGGTGCTAGTGGCATCTGTGTGTTGGGGAACGAGGTTGTGAGTGAGGCGAGAGACATACCTGGTGTTGGAAGCGTGCGGCATTGGTCGCTGTATGCTCGTACTTCGGGAAAGTTGTTGACGTCATCTTTCAGCATTGTAGTATAGGCTAGATAGGATCTGCCACATGTAGTCTGGGCGCCGAGCGCCAGATAGGATATCAACTCTGGTTCTTCGTTGATGATGATGGGACTATTTCAGCATTGTCAATTATGAACGCTTGGTGTGTTCTTATTTGGTGAATCTCGTGATGCAATTCTGCGGTTCGTTCGAGGCCACGACTATCTGGACTCATATGTATGATGTGGTTTGATTGCTCAAGTTCGCTATTGCTCATCTTCCTTGCAATTCAGATATTGTAGAGATAATGCCCCAAGGGCATTATCTCTGCAATCCGGATTGCCCTCCACAAAATCTGGAGGGATGAGGTCACGGTAGGGACCTGCCAGTCCCTACTGTGCCAGTCCCAAACTAGCCGGCACATTCTCCTCCACTCTTTTCTCCCATTTTGTCTCATCCTCCTTCCTTTTTCTCCCATTTTTCTCTCTTTTTCTTTTACTTCTACTGTGACAAGTGTCAAGCAGTTGTGCACCCTCTTTCTAGGCCTTAGATTCCCATTCATGGCCAGATTCATGCCCAACAGTTGGCCGTTGCAACTTGGATTGCAATAATGAGCCCCCATGCTCATAGGCGATCCCGTTTGCCTCCGTTTTTTTCATTTTTGAGCCCCCTTGTGCTCCAATTTTTCTTTGGCAGCTTATTTTCTGCATGGAGCCCATTGAGGCTCTATTTTCTTGTGCCTTGCTAGTCCGAGATATCTTGGATTGCTGGGCAGTCCCTCCTTCACCATTTTTATCTCATTTTTGCCCCTTTCAGTTTTGCACTCAAAGTGACTAATATTTTCCACCGTCAAGATCTTAATCTTAGACGGCGCTTCTTACTTGTACAGTCGTCTCTTTGCTAGCTCATGGTTTCATTGGGACCACTCAAGTCCCCGCCATTTTCTAATGCCAGTTCCATTTTTTGGTCTCAGTGGTGGTCCAGCCGGCGCACGACATCATTCCCGGTGACGTCCCATTTTTATTTGGGATTCCTTGTCCCCGGCAGCCCTAATTTCTTCTTCCCATGGGCCTCAAGTGCCGCGAATATTCTAGGCCACAAGATCCACCATCTCGCGGCCCCCATTACCGTCTTTATTTGCCCAAGCCCAAGACACTCTTTCAAGGCCCTTTTTCTTTTGGCCTAGGCACCCCCATGCAGTCCGTTATTTCTCGGACTGCCATAATGGCCTTTTCTCTAGCCTCATGGCCCCACAACATGCCTCCAACTGAAACAAAATGTAACGGCTAACTTCCAAGTGCATCCAGACTCAATATTGCCTCCGGATACACCTAAAACATGTGTTTCCCTTCCCCATGCAATCCGTTGCATCTCGGTTGCATGGGGCCTTGATTTTTCTTGATTTTCTCTGCAAATTCAATATAAAATCAAGATACTTTGCAACCGCCATATCCCAAGACGTATTTGGTCACGGATGCATCTCCCCAAGTGACCGTTTTTTACCGTTAAGGCCTCTTTCTCTTTTCTTTTATTTTCTCTTTACTTTTCCAATTTTTTTTTTCCATTTTCGAACAGTAGGGACCTGCCAGACCCTACTTGTGCCAGTCCCTACCGACGGCCAATTCACTCATTCCCTCTTACTCCTCTTGTTTTTTTCCCCAACTTTTTCTTTGCTTTTTCTTTTTTTTTCTAGCATATCCAGTGTCAACTAGCTGTTAAGGCCTTTTCTAGGTCCTTCCTCTTAGTTTTGGACCTTCCCATGCCCAAGGTGCAGTCCGTTATTTCTCGAACTGAAATTGAGGTTTCCTCATGCCCATGGGAGCCTCCTTTTGCCTCTCTCTCTTTCAAACTGTGGCCCCTTTTGCTCCGATTTTTCCCCCGGAAACCTGTTTTTCACATGGAGCCTCTCTAGGCTCCATTTTCTTCAAGGTGGCTAATCCAAGATATTTCGGATTGCTGCCACGAGTCCCTCCTTGCTCTTTTTTGTTTTCTTGTCTCCTTTGGCCCTCCCGTTTGCCTCCACTAGTGCTTGCACTAGTGGCGCTAATATTCTCGGTCGTTTAAATCTTAATTTTGACGGCACATCCTGCTTTGGATATATTTTTCCCATGGTCCTCCACAACTTTCCCTTGGGGCATCACAAGTCCCCGCTATTTATTCTGCGCTAGTCCCAGACACTTGTCCCGCCTGTGATCCCACCGGTACTTCGCCCAAAATGCCATTATTTTTACTTGGTTTCATATGGTCCCCGACACTTTCCCTCGCGCTGTCCTGATCCCTCTTGGCGTTTTCCGCCTCATGGAAACCCCGCTTTTTGTTTTCTTCCCATGTCCCACGCACGCCGGTCTTTCCGATCGCGGCCTTTTACTTGGCTTATGGCCCTTTGGCCCTTCTCATTCCGGTGACCCTCTTGGCTCCGGGCTACATTCCCATATGTCGGAGCCCTGACACTATTTTCTCGGTTTCCTTGATTCCTTTCTTCCTGCGGCGCGCAACCTAGGGTATTATTTATTTTTTTCCGGTGGTTCTTCCTTTGAGAAGGACTTGCTATTCTACTAATCTCTTATGGGTCCAATGGTTCCGGCGGCCCAAGGCATTCTCCACGCCCCTAGGCGCCGACACTTATGCCTTAGCCTTTAATCCTTCCTATCTCCCTTGCCTCCGATTCTCTGTGTTGTGCACAATTCTGTCGTATACCATCTCTCAAGGGTCAGAACCTGTCCCGGGACCCACAGGTCCCGACATCGTCCCAACATCCTTTAAATCCCTTTCTTAACTGTATTCACTTTTACTTTCTTTGGGGTACCCCTTTTATTTGTTCTTGCAGCTCCCCTTTTACTGTGCCTCTCATGTGTGTGTGTTTTAAAGCACCCCAGGTTCTCTCTCTCTCATTTCCTCCACAATTATAACAAACCATCCATAACAAAAAAGTATAGATAGACAATATTGAAAGGATTCACGCTGTAGATACCCAGTTTTGGGTCCTGACAAGTCCCAAGTCCCAGGGCCGTCTTGTAGGGTAGGCCGCAGGGTCTAGAGGCCGAAGCGTCGTAGGTCGGTAGGTGCCGGTACCGAAGCGTCGTAGGTTCGTAGGAGTCCGTCAAGTACCCGACAAGAAAAGTCCAGAAGGTCCAGTCCGATAGTCCCACGTCCAAATTTGCAGCATGTCCTAGGAAAGTCCCGAGGCTGTCGGACTGACAAAATGTTTGCAGCAGACAGGCCGCGGCCAACCCGTAACGATCTGAAGCAAGCCAAGCCAAGCCAAGCCAAAGTCTCATATTTAACTGCTACAATGCAGCGGCTCATCACTTGTTCAATTGCGAGATGCGGAAGCGCTACTACTGCTTGTGCGTTAAGGCAACTTGGGCATTGTGCGCTCGAAGAAGAAGAGGGCGCTTGAGAGATACTCCATAGCTAGGCTAATGGTAGAGCAGGAGGATGGCGGCCATAGCCGCCAAGGTGTAAGCTACCTGAGTGGGTGTATCCAGAGAGAGAGAGAAGAGAGAGAGTGAGGCAGAGCGAGTCAAATCAGAGAGATAGAGGAGAGGGGAGAAGACATATGTGCTATCTGGTTGAGATCAATTGTGCGTGTGTGTGCGACAGAGCCGCTAGAGACAAACATTCTTGTATATTGATAAATATATTGGAAACGACATCTTCACGTGTTGATTGGATCTCGATTTGGCTTATCACGCGTGAACTGTCATGTGAATGTTCATTGACGTACGCACGGTTGAACTTATTGAGTACTTGGCTCACTTCAATATAATAGAAAATTAAAGGTTGGCCCCGTTTGTGTGGTTCAGCGTCGTTCTTCAGGTACCCACAACAACAAGCCTCGTATCAGGCAATTTCTTATGACTTGGGCGTGGCCTTTAGCCGCTGTTACGACCCTTAGACCCAAGTGTTGACGTGTGGCTCAAGACTATGGCATATTTAACATTGAGTTATTACATTCGATCAGGCCCGATTTCAAGTTCCATTGCAGAAACTATTACTTTTAGGCTCTTTCTCTTAACTCGCGCTCATATGCAACGACTATATCAGGTGCAATAGGTAGAAGTTCTTTCTTAGAAAGCCATCTTGCTTGTGATAGGTTGTGATTTGAGCTTTACCTGCGGTCTTCCTCTGCTACTTGTAAAGAAATATCCATGCTCCATGAGTCGTTCAACTTCATAGCCTCCATTCATAAGGGGAGGAATCATGGAGGGCCGATTAGGAAACTCGTGACCTTCGACATAGGGTAGCAGTTTGGAAGCGTGAGAGACGGGATATGTTTTGAGGTGAGGAGGTACATCAATTCTATAGGAAGGTCTATTTGTGTCCCCAATCACTTTCAGAACTTTCAAGGGTCCGTAATAAACAGGCAACAATTTTTGTGACACATTTTCTTCTAAGGAAAATTCTTTAGACTTTACCCAGACTAGGTCTCCTTCTTGGAACTGTGATGGTCGACGCTGCTTATTGGCCTGTTCAATGATCTGCAATTGACCTTTTTTGAATATTTTCCCGTTCTTTCAATATGTTTTGTTCGTACAAAATTGCAAATTATTGCGTTCCCCGGGTTAGCCGTTGGACTTGATCCCTGGTCAAAGCATCAATGGGACGTCTCGGCTTCCAGCCTTTATGTAGTGCGTTAAGTGTTCGACTTGTTACTGTGTGAACACTGTTGTTGTATGCACCTTGCCATCTTTGGCAAGTTCTCATTCCAATCAATATGATCTGATTGTATATACATTCACAAAAGTTGTTGGCATAAACGGTTCAGCTCTCCAGTTTGCCCATTCGTTTCAAGGTGCCTCACAGAGGGCATGGTCAATCCGGTGCCTTAAGCCTCCATCAACTTTTGCCACTGCTGGCCAATGAACCGTACATCCCGATCAGGGACGATGGTTTTTGAAAATTCGTATTTCGAAACCCGTCGCATCTGGAACGTCTGGATGGCAAGTTTCGTTCTTGCTTAAACTGGTAGCATACCTAGAGAATCAATCAACAATAACCATTACCTGACTGTTTCGATTCCGACTCTTTGTGAGACTCTTAAAGTCAATCGAGATAGACTCACGTGGCTCGCTTGGAATAGGTAGTGGTCGTAACAGTCCCAACAGATTCTCATGAGAAGGCTTGTTACTTTGGCAAACAAGACCAGTTCGCACATAGGTTAGCACATCCTCTTTCATTCCTTTCCATTCAAGAAGTCCTCTAGCATTAGCAAACGTCTTTTTAAATCCGAAGTGACCTTTTGTATCATGGCATTCCCCAATAACCAAGCTTTTGATATCTTCTCTATGTGGAATGGAGATTATGTCTTCGGTTTTGTCAATAAAGAATAGTATATCATTAGTCATTCGATACTTAGGCAAGATTTCATGATTTTTTTGTAGGGTTTGAATGATAGGACTCCATATAGGATCCCTAACATACCCTTGTTGGACTTTATCCTTCAACTCTGTCCTGATGTCAAGGTAGGAACAATAGTACCGAAGACATCGGGACGTCGGGACAAAGCATCAACAACCACGTTGGACTTACCCTTAATTGTTTTCAATTCAAAGTCAAACTTGTCGATGAATGCATACCATCTCACTAACTTGTTGCGACTTAATCCATTTCACGGTCGAATGATAAAAATAGAGCGGGAAATGCCTTCCAAGCAAGTAGTATTTCCACGTGTCTAGTGCTTCCACCAAGGCATACAGTCCCCTTTCGTAGATGGAGTTAGCTACCTTATCAGATGGAAAGTGTTTACACATAAACTCTATAGGTCTATCCCTTCCCATCATCCTGTTGTAGCACGACCCCAATCCCAAACTGGTTGGCATAATTTGTCATAATGAAAGGGAGTGACGGGTCATCAATTTCCAAAACAGGGTAGTGAGTTAGCGTATGCTGCGATTTCTTGAATGCAGACTCACAATTTTTATCTCATAACCAAGGTTTCTCTCTATTCAATAATCTTCTCATAGGTGCAACTATAAGAAGGAAGTTCCTCACAAACTTCCTATAATAGCTAGCAAGTCCTAAGAAGGATCGCAGTTCAGTGATAGTCTTGGAATTTAACTTATAGTTGTCTTCTCTTACTTTTTCTAGAACCATTCGCAGGTGTTTTTCATGGTCTTCCAACGTCTTGCTGTAGACGTGGATACCGTTGCGATACACTACTACGAATTGATCTAGCCACTGTCGAAACAATTCATTCATTGACCTTTGAAAAGTCGTTGGTGCATTAGTCAGTTTGAAAGGCATAACCATAAACTCGGAGTGTCCATACCTGGTTCGGAAGGCGGTCTTGTGTTGATCCTCAAATGCCACCTCAATCTGGTAGTATTCTGACTTCAGATCAATCTTGTTGAAGTACTTGCACCCCTGCAGCTGGTCAAGGAAGTCGTCAATGTGAGGAAGGGGTTCCATATTCTTTATAGCTACAGAATTCAATCCTCAGTAGTCAATGCAAAGCCTAAGTTCTCCTTCCTTTTTGGGCATGAATAAGACAGGGGCACCATAGGGAGAGGAACTTGGTTGAATCCATCATTTTTCTGTAAGTTCTTGCAGTTGTTTTTTCAACTATTATAATTCCATTGGGAATCTTACTTCCGGGAATGATTTCAATGGTGTGCTTTATAACACGGTCAGCTACTCTCATTGGTTCAGTCTGCAAATCCTTATATTCATCGAGTAGTTGATCAATAAAAGGAAAACAGGACGAAGAACATTCACCTACTCGTTTGACAAGTACCATCATTACATCATGTGCCAACTTCTTTTTCGTGACCATACTTCGAAAGGCAGGTAGACTCATGCACCGAAAAAACAATGTGAAAAAATTTAATCGATTCAATTTTGGATTTGCATCCTTTAATTTAACAATATTGGCTTCCAACTTGACTTTTGGGTTGGCCTCCTCGTGCCAATCCGTTCCCAGAATCATATCAAAAGGCAAATTTTTTTCTACGAGGAAAATTACTTCATGCAATATTCATTTTCCTTCCTTAGTTATGAAATAACACTTCACACGATCAACAAACTGGGAGACGGTGATCATGCTCTTATCTGCAAGCATAGACGTGATAGGTTTTGAAAGGTCTTGCACTTTCATTCCCAGATGCAACTTACAAATTGCCTTTTCTGAGATATAGGACCACGTAGACCCAGGATCTAACAATGCAACCACGCAGGTGCGCGCAATCTCTATGTCTGCGATCATTTGTTCACCCTTAGACTAAGCTTTCTTAGCCCTTAAACTTCTTAACGTTATGAGTTCGCAACCAAGTTCATCAAGGGAATCACCCGGCGTGATAGAACACAAGACTTCATCAGGGTGTTCTGGGTGACGAGTCAAAGAAGAGTTATCCTCTGCCTTGTGAGTCAGGGGGCTGAAAGGGGTTGTAGGCGCCTTACCAGCCCTCCAACTCAGTAGGAGCAGATGCTACTCCTACTGGCTGCTCCCTTTTGGGTTCCAGATGAGGGGACACCATGCAATTATGTGTCCCGAGGTGTCGCACTTCAGGCACTGCCTGTTATCTATCCGTTTCTGCTATTCCTTCTGGGTGAGGCCCATCTTTTTCCAGGGTCGGCCAGACGCAATGCCAAAATGCTCCGGGAAGGAGCGTGGTCTCCTCTTCCTATATCCACCTCGGTTGGTGCCACCCTTGTTGGCCACCATGGCGGTGACCTCACCCTTTCCAGACTCACCACCACTACTTGTTTCGCCCCTTGCATTTTTGAGGGACAATCTCTCAACAGTCTCGTCGCCGAAAACAACGAGAGTGTGGTCCTGGTGCTTCTGCCGCCACAAAACTCTTCTCCCATTCTCGTACCCACCTGATGGTCCACCTCTCACAACGTTAGTGTAGGTTCCTTTAACCTCGCAATCATCTGTTCCCACTGGAGCTCAAGGTTGCGAAATTGTCAATAGTTATACTTTCCATACTTTGGCTCTGCCACAAGCTGTTCGCGTATGGGCTCGGGCAGTGTGCACGAATAGATATACAACGCTTGGTTGTCCTGTAGGTTCAGTCCAAGTACCTGCAAAAGACGATCAACTTCACGTTACAGAGCATCGACAGTAGACCAACGTTTTTGGCTAATCGTGGTGAGTTCGTCAAAAGCCTTATCGACCATTGTATTGGCAAGCAATCTCATCTTAATTTTCTGGAGAAATTCCCGCAGGATCATGATTTTTGCCCACTCACTGATGTCTTCGAAGCCAACAACATTAGCCTCAGACAGGACTCACTCCTTGGCAACTTATCTTAAACATGAGGTGGAGAAGGCAACTCGACTCTCTGGTTTTACAGGAGCGGTGTCGGTGGGAATACCCTTACAAGGGTATCCGCCCTGGTTTTTGCAAGCGACAGGGAATAAGTTTGGTTTAAAGTTTAGGTATACCGCGCGAGGCGGGGCTGTGTCTGAGGTTTACGTTGACTGGATGGTTGACTAGAGTAAAGAGTGTGTGGGCGCGCAGATTTGAGGTGCGCGTGATCTTTTATTTGTTGATGATTGAAGAGTCAGCGCGATCGCCGACCAAATTTTGTTTTCTAATTAAACTAGGATTAAAAAGATTATGCCTCTTGATTGATGCGCTTGCCTGTGACTTGTGCGCATGTGTGGAGGACGACGTTGACGACTGCATGGTTCGGTATAGTCGCGCGGTGGACGCGGAAGGTTGACAGTCGTGAGTTCTGTTGATAGGCCGATGTGTGGGTCTGAAACGTTTCAGTTGATCCGCGCGTCGTGCAATATCCGCTTATTTAGGTATCCGTCAAAACTAGACCCAAACTTGAGCCTAGTACTATTGGTTACAGTGTCGGACTTTCATCTGAGAGGTTCAGGGATCGAGATCGAGCGGCAACGACGCGGGATATCAGAGTGGCGCGAAGGAGTCGAGAGGTTAAGGGTCTGGCGAGGCTATTCCCCTTGGTTTCTTTTTCCGCGTTTCATCATATTCTGACGATTAAAAGTTTTCAAACATTTTATAATCTTTATTGTAGTACATTTTGTACACTCCGGTGTTCCTTGACTCGGACGAGGCGTCGGATTTAAAAGGCCGTCACAGCAGTCGAGGACCTTCAGTACCCGCCTCTTTTTCGTGGTTCGTCCGGGTCCCCTCGTGCTCGAGATGCTGGTGAAATTCCCCCATTCCGCCCCATCTTAAAAATACGGGCCGACGAGGTCAACATGCCTGCGAGCGGTGGGTGGTTAGCCCACGAAGCGAAAGAAACCTAAATAACGCGGGTTGCTGCAAGTGCATGGTCGGCCAGCCGCGATCTGTCACAAGAAGTTGAGTGTGGGTATGCCAACAACGACCGGAAGATGGTGGGTCGAGCCCTAGCGCGGTGGTTTGAAAGCGGTCCAGGGCGCAGTTGAGGGACTGCAGCGGTGCAGCGGCAAGCTGTGGATCGTGGGGAACCCCTCTCCACTTCGGTCTTCGAAGTTCTCATTTGAATATTTGCTACTACCGTGGAGAGTCGCGTCGGGCTCAGTCCACGAAGGCCCACTCTAAGCTTTGCAGCAGGTCGCGCCGCAACCGGCTGTCTGTGTGAGGGCTGGCTATTGGAAGCCCGAGGCGGTAGTGGACTCCACCTGAACAGAACGACAGGGGGTGGTCGTGCCGGCTAGTGGACTCCACCTGAACAGAACGAGAGGGGGTGGTCGTGACGGAGCCGGCCCATGCAAATCAACCGTTGGACTTGGGTGTAGGGGTGAGAGACTAATCAAACCGTGTTGTAGTTGGCTCGACTGAGAGTCTTTCCCTCAGGGTGGTCGGAGCAGTAAGGGAGGTCGCTGCGCTAAAGAGTTGGCAGACCGATAGTGAGAGAGAGGAGTGACAGGCGCGAGGAAGAGGGCAAAGCAGGCGCTAGCACTAAGCTGAAAGAGGGGGTGAATGTTGACGCGAAGCAAGGCCGGTGCATGCGAGGCAGGGACAGTGGGCGCTAACGTTAAGCAGAGAGGAGCCGGGAAAGACGAAGGAACCCGGTCGAGAATCGCGCCAGGTGCAAACTGGGATGGCGTTGGCAGAGAAACGACCGGGCGTAGTCAGAGGCATGTAGCGTGCTCGATTCATAATAATATCGAGCGAGAAAAAGAATGGACGTCGGGGTTTTTGAGGGCGGCGACTTTGAAATTGTAGCTAGATTTAGATGGAGGTTAGTAGAGAAGGTAGTGCGCGAAGGTGCAGCGATGGTGGACGAAGACACAGGGGGAAGAATCAGGAAGCAGCGGGTGGGCTTACTCGGCATCTGGTGGGTTTGTCCGACACAATGAGCAGCACAAGCACATGAACGACTAAGAGAGAGTGAGAAGGAGGGAGAGGGAACGGACGGGAGTGCAAATTGGTCTGCTCGACTGTTCCTCGGCAGTTTCTGTTGAGTAAAGATCCTAAGTGGAGTTCTCCATAGTTACGAATAGGATAGAGGGGTTATAGATAGGGGAGAGGAGTTGTAAGTTTCAAGCCATGAAGAAATAAAGTTGCACCCGGGAAAGAGGGACTTTCAAAATAAATAAATAAAGTCAGTGTACCTTTCTGCGTTCCAGCGGCAGATCCATTGTGGGTTTGCCCACCCCAACGATGGAAAAAGCGAGGAGCTAGCCGCGGGGTTAGGCACTTACCTGCTCGCCGGTGCGTTGCTCAGCTTATCCAAAGGAGTAGCATCTCTCTACTCGTTGACACGTATGACTGGGAGCTTTGTACAACTCCGCAATATTGTGTGAAATTCATTCTTATTTTTGCCCGCCTTAGTGATCGATGCTGTGTGAGTCTGCCCACGGATTGGATACTTACCTGGAGGCCGCGCAAAGTTGAATGAGACAGACTGATGTGCATGTTGACCCCCCCTTTTGCCAGTAAAGGCAGTCGTCGTCTGATACCGGTAATCATTAGAACTTGGGCACGTTCTCTACTCTGACAGGGACGTTCGTCATGATCATGGATTGGGAGACGTCTCAGTACCTAGCCATGGTTGTTTCATATCGAAAGAATGAATATGGTTCCCATTGAAAGAGGGGGGAGTTTGCTCTCGAGAGGTATAACGGATGAAGCCGCGCGCATAGCCCTGCGTCGAGATGCCTTGCATTCGACTTTGTTTTAAACGGAGGTTCTAACGTTAAATCCCGCACGTATAGATAAACGTGTGCAGCCTACCCTTTGTTGTCTGAAACCGACGCTGCTACGAGGAGAGGGCAGTTCAGTATTAAGGCCGCCACTTTTACTACGCTTACCGTGTATATCGCTGTGTATCATTGCGAGGTGGCTAGTGGGGCATGTGTCAAAGTGCGCGACTTATTGGATTGTGAGTTTTAATTGTCGTGCTCATGAGTCGACAACTACGTCTGAATTATAATCCAACCACTAGTTGCGACTGAGCCTGTTTCGGTTAATTCTTCACAGGCTACTATGGATTGCAGAACTGCCTATTGGTCGATGGATGCTCACCTGGCCAAGTTGCAACTGTGGCCACGAAGCTGCGATGTCCACAGTGGGTTTGCAGCGCACCAACGAATCGAATGCAGGAAGGGAATGTCGAACGAATGACTGTTCCTTAGCCCCATGGGAGGTGGTGCATGGTAGTTCTTAGTTGATGGAGTGCTTCGTCTGAGTAATCCGTAACTTTGTTTGGATCCTGTGGGTGAAGGCCGTGACTATGCCCTGCCAGTCTTCTCGATTTAAGGAAGTGGCCGCCTTCGTACACTATTATGTTGGTGACCGCTATGTTTTTAACAGCTGCTACGACTGTGTTCTTTGGGGGCCATTGCAGACGGGTATCACTGTGCATGGCCACTGAGTACACAACGCCTTGCTGTGCTCTGGCTGTACACACGCGAAGTATCTACTGAGCGTGTGTCGAGTATCTTGTTGTGCCCTCGCTGTGTGACACTGTTATTGCTGCAGTTAAGCATTACACACTTTTGCGGTAGCTTGCAATTGCTGTGCACTTAGCGTTTTGCCTGTTTTTCGAACGTACACTGTACTTTATTCGAAAGCAGCCTTCTAACGGTGTGGCAACTATTTGGCCAAGGGGAGGTACGGTGACTTTGAATAGGGGATCAGATTCTGCGAGGGGGGTCTTTGCTGCGAGTGGGAGAAACATCAGGGAGTCAACTGCAGACCTTTTTTTTTACTTTGTTTGACCAAGCTGCTGCACGTTTTGGCTGCCATTGCGGGGCCCTCAGGCGCATCGAGATTTTGAGGCCCTCTCCTGGGAGTTGAGTCAGTCCCTCTCTTGTATCTCGAGAGTCTCAAACCCCTCCTTCTGTCCTTCTAACTCTAAGTCTAATCTTGTTCTGAGAGGACGGCGGCAGGCGGGATTGCAACCCGTATGACCGCAGCAAGACTCTGTGGGGAGTTAGCCCACCGATTGCGGGACTCTGCCAGAACTCAGGAGTTCTGGAGGCAGGGAACTGAGAGGTAAGGGTTTCGCTTTCCTTCTATAAACCCAATTATAACCCAATATCTGTATTCCTGATTGTGTTTTGGTTGAATATACTGAGTGCATCCCTACTTTGACTTTGAGTTTGCCTTTCAGGACATGATTCAGACTAAGTAAAGGAATGTATGCGCAATGTCAGTTTCAGTTTCATTGTTTGACTGAAAGCAGATTGTGGGGTTGCGTATGGGGGAAGGATGGGAGGAAGGCAGTTTTGCTTGAGTTTGACTGGTTCTATCAACGACTGCGAGAGTCTCCATAAGGTTGGAGGGCCCAATGCTATGTTTATTTTTTATTGTCTGAAGGACCAGACAGGTTCCCATAAGATTGGGTGGTCTGGTTGTTGTGATTTGCGAGGGATGATTGTGATTAACTTTTCATGGACCAAGCATGTTCCATAAGTTTGGGTGGCTTGGTCGCCTTGTTTACTTTGGGTTTCTTTCATTTTCTTTTGGTTCTGAACGAGGAGGTCTGAGTATCTTCCATAAGTTTGGGTGGCTCAGCCTCTTCCTGCCTTGGGTAAGAGAAAGGATTTGGCAGAGGACCAGACATGTTCCATAAGTTTGGGTGGTCTTGGTCCAATGTCACGCACATGCTGGAACCAACAGGCTATAACTTGGCTATACTTTAGTATTATTCTGTCGATGAACAGGCTAGTCAGACAAGGTTCCATAAGTTTGGGTGGTCTGCCTATAGCTTATCACAAGCCGAAAAGAGTATTAATTAAGAGTAAATTTGTGGTACGAAGGGGCAGACTGAATCTTGAGCTGAAGCTAGACCTACAAAGGTAAGTACCCACCTTTGTAGGTTGGCTTGCATGTGACTGAGTGAGACTACTACTTAGTCTGAGTTTCAGTTTGACAGGTAGTTGCTTCAGATGCTCGCCACGTGCTAGAGCCATAGGAGTTAGTTTCAATTCCTACATTTTCTAAGCTAAGTTTTTTTTACTTAGGTCAATTTCTACATTTTCTGGGATCTTTTATTATACTTGGTCTTGTTGTCGATTCGTCGGTTTACGATTCACTCCAATCCACAACTGCCACTTAACCTAAAGGCTTTAGCCTTGTGATTTGAACTGTTTTATTGTGTTTTCGCCCGGACTTTATTTGAATGGTCATTTAAGAAAAGTACTAAGTATTTTATTTTGAGGAGTTGCACTTGCATGGCTAAAGCGAGGGGTGTGAGTGCAGAGAATGGTTGAAGTTGACCCCGTGTAGTGCATGGACTTTTGGTTGAATCTGTGATGTGATTGCAAGTATGTTTGGTGGTTCGAACTTTGGATTTGACTGTCTGCGATCATATACATACATATGGCTGAGAGGAGTCTCACTGTGATTGTGAGAAGTGATCGTCACATAATTATAACCCTTTATATAAGTGTAAATACATATGTCTTAAGTGTTTTCGTGCGGCCTACTGTGACCGCTCGTAAGGGTTAAACAAATTATGTTTTTGAAAGAAAAGGGAGATCGCCTGTTATCCTTTTCTTTTTGGAGTTTTTATAGTTGGACGTTGTAGTCCGTGACAGCCGTCAAAGTCAAACCCCTTGATTTCTCTCCAGGCCCTGGATGATGGAGCTGGTCTCCAGGGCGATAAGAGGCAATTGCCACCACAGGTATGAACCTGTGTACCACCCACTCTTCGCAGGGTGCAAAAGAGGGTGTGGTTCTCAACCGCATTTGGCGATTGTCCAACGTCGAGAGATCATTCCCTCAAGGCGCGTGTCAGCCGACACTTGAGTGTCGAATGCAACCCTCGAGACTAACGAGGACTGCATGAGTATGGGTACTACATAGTACGCCATCATTGCGACTGCTTGCGTATGCTTGCATTGCGAGTCGATATGAGATGAGCCTTGCGTCAGCGCGGTTTTATACTAAGTCTCGTGTGAGACGCCTATCCGATTTTCGCATTGGAGAGTTATGGATGACTACTAAGGGACTAGGAGTGTTGTCGCGTTGTTTGTTTTATGTCATTCTGTATGTGTATGTGTATGTGTTTTTTTTTTTTTTTTTTTTTTTTTCATCCACAAAATGCAAGGTAGGTTTCACGACTGTACTTGAACAGGATCTATTTTGTAGGTTGTACACTTTCCTGTATCTACGAATACAGGCGACTCACCCAATCTTGATGATGTTTGAAAAAAAAATTAAAAAAATGCAAGGTTAGTCACGTTTGTGTGCTTCAGCGCCAAGTGCACACACACCCTTCTGCCGCCAAAGCGGCACACTTGCACAAACACATATATACATATATGATATATACATATATTTATTTGATCCATGTGTGTGTGTTATAAAATATCACCACAAGTTCCCCTATTCCACCCAGATGAGTAGATCCAAAGTTATAGCAACTTTACCTGTATTGCAAACAATGAAGCATTCTTAAGATGAGCCAATCCACCTATGAAACAGTTTTGCTTGTGGAGTCAATATCTATTCAGAACCTTACCTTTAACCAAGCAAGAAATCTCACCTTTACACAAGCAATGCAACACACTTGAGATGGGCCAACCCAACAATAAAAACAATATGAGACAATAAATTTGTTATATCGTTTTCTTGATTATGTTCTCATCAGCTAGCATTGGGAGGCCTCCCACTTTCTTTCAATAGATTCTCTATACAGACCATTGGAGCAGACGACTGTAGAATGACACGAGAAGTCAATCAGTGTTAGGGTTGCAGGATCAGAAGTAGTTGTTGCCTATGGTAGGTGACCACTCCTGCAGACCAGACAACTTCGATTCGGGTGCGGACTGTGGTAGCATCACATCCAATTCTCGCAGTTGCAGTTGCTGCACCGAATGGCACGACGTAGATAGATATCGCAGGCAACATGGCTCCCACGCAAAGAACATAAGAACACAAAGGCACGCCGGCCGCAATTATAGAGGCATTGTCGTTCGAACCCCTGTCTACAAATTGGACATGATATGTCAGGGTGCCGAACATGAGTGCAATATTAACTGTCATCATACGCATGAAAACAGAAAGACGCACGGGCTGTGCCTTCATAATCCTCATGACACAATTCATGCAGCCCACATGCTAGCCGAATCTCAGGTGGATCATCACAGAACGACATTGAGCAAGTGTTTTGGGTTTCCTCGGCATTGATTCCTTCTCTATGGACCGACGACGACGACAATTGTGGCAAGTGTGTGTGTGTGTGTGTGTGTGTGTGTGTGTGTGTGTGTGTGTGTGTGTGTGTGTTGACCAATCTGGCAAACAATATTCCAGTAGGTTCATGTTTAATGTTGCGCCTGCAACAGGCTGCACGACCCATTTCCAGGCCTGTGACGTTTTCAGGCCAAAAGCGTGACGTTTTCAGGCCAAAAGCCTAAAAACAAGGGCCCTCAGGCCCTATGCCGTTTCAGCCTGAAAGCCTGAAGACAAGGGCCTACAGGCCTTGTGTCGTTTCACGCTAAATCAGGGCCTTTCCGGCCCTGAGTGTTTTCAGCCTGAAATTGAGGGCCATTTTCGGGCCCTCATCGGTTCGACCTGCCCTGAAACTCGGGCAACAAACCAGGGTTTTAGCACAGGCCATTTCGGGCCTGCTTTCAAGACAACCCCTGGTTGAGCTTCAACGCCAGGGTCTGGCACGTTTCGGCATTGGCAAGAGCAGCCTCCTGGACAGGCCAGCACTATATAGGACTGACCCGCCCTGCAGGCAGGAGGTAGTTCCTAGGTACTTACCAGGCACTTCACGTGCAGTTCAGGAGGCAGGAGGTAGTCTTCAGGATTCGGCAGCAGCACTCTGGAGGAGCGCTGCAGGAGTAGTAGTAGCGTTAGCAATAGTCTTCAACGCTGGGCGCTAGTAGCGTTAGCTGTAGTCTTCAGCGTTGGGCGCCACAGCAGCTAGAGTAGTGCAAGAGATAGAGAGATTGGGCGGAGGCCACGGGGACTTACATGCAACTCCGTTGCTCCAGCTTCGTCTTCGAGGTACCTGCAGCACCTGTCTCTTATACACATCTAGATGTGTATAAGAGACAGGTCCCGGTCAGGTCAGGACTTGTGTATAAATCTTCCACTGCCCTATAAAACAACATTTTGTATCTATCGGAATGCACATTGCTTGTTGAGATTCCACTTGCACTGCATAAGTCTGCATTGTCCATTCAGTCCTTTTTATCACATTGCGGATCCTCGGTTTATATGTACATGGCCCAACTGGGCCTGTAACAGTTGGTATCGGAACACCACACGTGAATCAGGACAACCTGATCTGACACGTGTGCGGGGACTAGGTAGCTGATTAGTCTTGATTGATTGATTAGAGCACACTAGTTAGCCCCCAAAATCGCGATTTTGACCTCA